TTTGATTAAAAACATATACATATTCCTAGAACAAATAACATGAACTGGTTTTTGACTTTTTTTTTTTTTTTTTTTTTTTGGTACCAGGGTTTGAACCCAGGGGCGTTTTACCACTGAGCCACATCCCCAGCCCTTTTTATTTTATTTTGTGACATGGTTTCACTAAGTTGCTTAAGGACTTGCTTAATTACTGAGGCTGGCTTTGAACTTGCAATCCACCTGTTTCAGCCACCCAAATTGCTGGGATTACAGGTGTATGCCACTGTGCTGGGCAATTTTTTTTAATAAAGAAAGTTTCTGGAGCTCAGTGAATGTCTCAAGGCTGACAAGCACATGTGCCTTCGAGGCCCACGGTGTGTGGGGCACAGCTCACTGTGTTGGGAGCTGGTTCTGGAGTCAGACTCTCCGGATGCCTCAACATCACTCTATTGCCACTGAGTGGCCCTGGGCTGGTCACTTCACCTCTCTGTGCCTACTCAAGGGAAGTTGGTAGCAGTACGTGCTTGAAAACAGAGAGTGGCACAACACAGAGGCCCACTTAAGAGTTTTATCTATATTTTCTCAGGAGAAAATGGCATCATTTTTATGACTTATTGTAGAACTTCGATTTCATCCATCAAAGTTATTTTTGCAGGGACATAGCCATGCACTCCTGTAATCCCAGCTACTCAGAAGGTCAAGGCAGGAGGATCATGTGTCAGCCTGGGTCAACCTGGGTCATTTACTGAAAACTTGTCTCAAAATTAAAAAATAAAAAAGGGCGGATGTGCTACTTCTGCAACTAAGAGGTAGAGTGCTTGCTTTGCATACTCAAGGCCCTGAGTACAATCCCCAGTACTACAAAAAAAAAAAAAAAAGTAATTTTTGGCCAATGTTCTCTTTTGGAAACACATATATTTACATCTTCAAATACAGCACTTTAAACAAGACAATGCACAGGTAGTCTTGACTTGCATTCCAAATACAATGGGACCAAAACATCAGGAGCAAGAAGAGACACTGGCATGTCAACAAAGGGAGGTACAGTGGGGTCACCACACACAGAGCAGCTGTCTGTGGACAATCACATAAATGCCCTGGAAGTCTCTAAGGGATTTCTTATGCATTTTACATTCAATAGGATTAGTTGCTAGTTCCATATATGTATCTCTTTATGTTTCATTATTCTTTCAGAAACTGCTGGGGGGTTTTGTACTGCTGTGCAGTGGGTGGTTAGATTTTTTCCCCACACCAAAGAATGAGATGTAAAGAGTTGTTTTCATGCAAAATGCCTAGTTTTCGGGAATAGATTACTGATGTTACGTGGGAGATGCTCACATGCAAAAAAGAAGAGTGACTGGTGCAAAAAATGCTCAATATGCATCCACATCACAAGGAGCAGTGGTCGTCAGTGATTTTAAAAACTGATGCACCCAGTAGAAATCCAAGGCTAGAAAGAGGTGAGGGAAGGAACCCGGTTGTCCTGGCCTGGTGGTCTAGAATGCTTCCAGCTGCCGGGAGAAGGTGATGGGCTAATTACAAGGTTGTGGTAGGTGGTTTGAAATAATTTGATTGTGGAATAATTTTTATAATTTAGAATGATAATTAAAGGGTAAGAATTTTTCTTACTCACCAAGGCTGACAGATTCAGCCATGGGTTCCCCCCATCAGAGGTCTTGTCATCTCCTACTGCCCCATCCATGCCAACCTCCATCAGCGGTCTTTCTAGCCAGCAAATTGCTCTGTCACCTCTACCTCCCCACCCCATCCAAACCCCAGTCAGCACTACTAGGCAAAAATGCAGGTGAGCCTTGTGTTATAAACCAAGGGTTGCAGATCTATTTTCTTTGGGGCTACTAATACTACCTAGATAGAGGGAGTTCCTCAGACTCTTGAGCATCTAACAACCCTGCTCAGACTGCCTGCTGAACTAGGGAGGACTTTCATGGATGTTGGTGAAGCGACCCCAGTGACAGCCTGGGAAGGTGTGAGAAACAGGTACTCACACAGCAACGGCTGGAGGATACAGCAGGACAAGAGGACAACCTTGCCACAGCAACATAGAAACGTGCATCTGAAGCCCTAAGACTCCCTCCTCACCCCAGCAACTCTACTTCCAGAATTTTAGCTGGACCAAATAGTCAAGAATGTGCAAAACAGCTGGGCGCAATAGAAGCTCAGTGACTCTGAAGACTGAGGCAGGAGGATCACAAGTTTGAGCCCCCCTCAGCAATTTAGCAAGACCTGTCTTTAAAAATCAATCAATTAATTAAATAAAATAATCTTCAGAGCAACATAGCCACAAAAACATTCTCAGATAAATCAAAATAGAATAATCCAGTTTCTACAACATACTATTTTATATCCTTGGCAACATGATTACATTGTTATATCATTATGTCGTCTACATGACAAAATTTGTAAGAACTTTTCATGGACTAGACCTGTCAAAATTAATATAAGCAGTCCCCCACTGTTGAATATGCTCTATTTTAAATTAAAAAAAATTAGAAGCAACCTAAATGCCCAACAATAGGGGACTAGTTAAAGCCATACAGTGAGGTTCTCCCATTTTTAGTTTATGCACACACTTGATGAAAAGACTGCATCCAAATGAACAAGGTGGTTTGCTCACAGATGATTTTTTTTTCCATTTGAGTTATATTTATTGCCAACTTTTCTGTGATAACTCTGTGCTACTCAAAATGTGTTGTTTTTAACTATTGTTTTTAACATCCTTCTTTTACACTGATAGCCAGAGAGAACCTTTAGAAGAGCATGTGTGTGGGTGGGTGCAGTCATCACAGATGGAATGACAATACCTGAGGCGAACCAAGGCTGACAGGTAAGCCCCAGCACACATCTATGACTGGCAGAACAGCCCTCTCCTGTGACTCAACTCGTACAAATCTGTGGGATATGGAGGAGAGCTGGTGGGACTCATCAGGCCTGCCTGTTACACATTCCAGATACCAGCCAGCAGTTCCTCTTTTGAATCTGAAGAATGGCAACACACACACTCACCGGAGGTGAACAAACACAGTATTTGATCCGTCTGTCTGCATCTTTTGGAGGAAACAATGCAGTAACAATGGGGTCACTGAACCAGACTCTGGTATCAGTTCTTGGAAAGCAACCAAGTTAAGGTTTTAACAAGGTTATGATTCCAACTCAATCAGTGCTTCATTCCTGGAAGTGGGGGAGTTGGTGGGAATGCCAAAGTCTCACCCACACACCCTATCAAAACACAATTGTCCTATATTTTCAGTTGTATGGAGATACCAAGTCCATTTCCACTCTGTTAAGTCTTTCTTCAGAGAGTTCAGGAGTTTATCAAACAAATCCACAGTGAGAGAGAGAGGGCTCTGGCTTTCTCTGTCCTTGCAAGATAGACTCCAATAACTTCCCAAAGGCCTCCACCAGTTAGATACACCCCACAACTCCAGGCAAATCAGATGTACTGCTGCTAAGTTCTATTCCCAACACAAAAGCCCTCAAGTGAGTATCACCATGGGTTCTCAGAGTCTGTTCCTGAGGTAATAGGGAGGAATTTAAGAAAGTGAATTGGGGAAGTTACTAGGCTTTGTGGTTTTTATACACCAAACCATCACACAGAGCTCAGCCCCTCAAGAACTTTCTGGACGTGTAACAAGCCAGTTCAAGATAGATTATCATTTTGTCATCCATAATGCCTTGATTTACACCATATTTCCATGGACAAGTTCTTTCTGTTATCACAGAAAGTTAGAGACATCTCAAACAATTTTCAACACAGTTCCAAGAATGTGTGTAGACACACACTTTTCTCTAACACACTTATACCCAACTTCACTCCCTAAGCCGTTTTTTACTCTTAAACTGATTTCTTTCTCTACAAATGGGATCTTGAACTTCAGTCCTATGATATTACAGTAAATATGTATTCAATGTTTTAAATCTTTTCTATCTATTGTGCAGTAATGTCACCTAATGTTGGAGAAAGAAATCAAGAAACTTTCCTGCCTTGGGTTTGTAACGATGATTGTCACTGTCACGTCCAAGTTCAACCTCAAAGTTTAGTTTCATTCTTTAATTTACCCTAGTTTATCTACATGTCAAACATAAACACCCGCTTAGGTGCGCCAAATGATACCGAAAGCCCAAATCACTTCCTGGATAGGTCTCCTCGTTCAAAAACACAAAACCTGTGCTAGTCTCAGAAAAGACCTCATTTCAAGTTCTTACATGAAGACACCAGATTATTTACTATGTTCTAAAACTTCCAGGGCACGTCCTCACTGGCTCAGACCTTTTGGCGGCCCCTCCTCCCAAACTGAACTAGCCTAAGTTCACCCCGAAACTACCCAATGCTGCAGTCAAAGTCCACTACACAGAGATGCCAGGGGCAGGAGGAAGGTCTGGCCTTGGGGCGCAGACCCTGGCAGCTTTCTCCTACCTGGCGCTTTCATTTCGAATTAACACTCTTGAACTTCTGGAGCAGGCGAGGGGGTGGCGGAAGGGTAAAAGGAGGCGATCTGATGGGAAATCGTAGGTCGGACCACTCTTTTCTTTCTCCTTGGCCCAGTTGAGGAGGTAGAGCGCTAGGAGCGGAAAGCTCTCTCCCCACACCCGGTGTGGTTCTCCCCAAGAATCCCAGCAAAGCCCCCAGGACGCACAGCTCGCCCCCTCGGACATGTTCCCAGGGCTAAGCTTCGGCGCGCCTTTTCCTTTTCGGCCAGCGCTGGGCTCATCCACTCGGACCGAGAGGCTTTGGGTCCAAGACACTCCCACGTGCCACAGCCTGAGCCCAGGGCTAGGTCGCTGGAACCCAGGAGGGCATCGCCACGGCGCCCGATGAGGAGCGAGCAGGAGCCGGGCTGTCCTGGGGATCCAATCCCACCAGAGCACCCCGACTGAGCCGCCGCGCCATCCCATTCTGCAGTCTCCGCACCCGGTACTCCTCAGCACCCCCACCGCCTAGCGCGGGCCGGAGAGCCCGCCCCACAGCTCGGCGCCACCCCAGCCCCGAGCCCCGCACTCACCTGCCCCGCGCATCAGGCGCACCGCAAGCAGTAGCAGGCCCCCCAGCAGTACAACTGTGACCCTGCAGTTCTGGCCAGCCATGGCTCTGGGGCGCCCTTGATGGGGAAAACAACTGTAGTCTGTGATTCGGAGCGGCGGCCGCGGGCGCCGGAGCCTGGCACCCCGTCCGCCGCGCTCCGCCCTGGCTAGCTCACCTGCGCGCAGGCGGACCAGCCCAGGCTCCGCCCTGCGCAGCTGGAGCGCCACCGACCAGACCAGTGCTTCCTCTCTCTCCTCCTCCCCTTCCTGCCTCAGCCACCCGGTGTGGGGACGTCCTAGGCGCTGTAGCTGGGTTCCTTCCTACCCAATGTGGCATTACGTCGGACTTGTCTCCACCTTCCCAGGCTTAGTCCTCTTTCCCAAAGCTAAGAATGATCAGATCTCTTAGTCCAAAGGTGCGAAGGCCTCACTTGGGGAAAGTCAATCCGACTTCTCTTCGCTGTCCAGGTGTGCCGCTTTGGAAGGGAATCATACTCGTGGGTCACCTGAGTCTTGGCTTCCTGTGCTTTCTCTCCTACTGTTTGGCTTTGAGGCTCACCAGACATCAAGTCGGTGTTAGGGCTGCTCTTTGCAAGACCATGAGCCTGCAGCCTACCCCAGGCACTTCGCCTGCTAGTTTCTAATGCTCACAGCAACCCTTCCGTTACAAGCAAGGCAGGCCAGACAGACTTGCTGTGTTGGGTGACTGGCCCACGGTCACCAGGTCAGTTGGTAAATTAGAGGAAGGATTTGGCAGTGCAGGATGAGTTTCACAGAGTTGTTGTGTTGAAATTTTGTGGTTGTGTGTGTGTGTGTGTGTGTGTGTAGTCTGGAGATAGAAACTAGGGCCTCTTCCATGTTAGGCAAGTGCTATACCACTGAGCTACACCACTAACTCCTGGTATTGATTTTTTGAAGAATGAATGAGTGAGAGAAAACGTGAGGTTGGAAAGGTAAGAGAAGAAACGTGAACAGGCCCCCGGGTCCCTGAATTGAGTTGTGAACATGCCCTCCCTGAACAAGGGAGTACTGTGCATAGCACCAGCTGCAGCTGTGCCCCCTACCTCTAGCACCAGAGGTGCTATGGGTTTCACCCTGCAGGCCACATAGCAAATGTTGGATCACAGGGCCAAAGGGAGAGACAGTGGATGCTTGAGGAACTCTTGGCTGGCAGACCAGTGTTTGGCCAAAATGACTTGATGACTCCTTGGGCTGCCTGTGTCCATGGTAGACAGAGGCTGGGCCAGTCCCCCAAAACAATGTCCGCGGTCTGGATTTTATATATATATATATATATGGCATTGAATCCAGAGGCGCTTGACCACTGAGCCACTATCCATAGCCCATTTTTACATTTTAACTGAGAACCAGTGTTTTGCTGAATTGCTTGGGGTCTGGCTAAGTTGCTGAGGCTGGCTTTGAACTTGAAATCCTCCTGTTTCAGCCTCCTGAGCCGCTGGGATTATTGGCAAGGAATGGCACTTCTCTTGAATTCTTAAGGACACTGAGCCTCTCAGGCGGCCCTAACCCTATGGTCAACAGAGGTGAGAAGTCAGTCCCTTAGGAGGCCCACCCCCTTCCTTCTATGCATAGTCAAGAATAAGAATCAAGTAAACCTGTCCCTCAGGAGCCCACAGTTTATTAAGAGAGGCAGAGATGTCCAAACAGCCCTACCTATGGAGGAACCTAGAAGCTACAGTGGACCTTAAACTTTTAAATTCTAGGCCACTTCCCTCACTGAGCAGATCTCTGGGGAAACTGAGGCCTAGAGGGAAGGAAGAGGATGAAAAATAGGGAGGCTCTTGGTTATTCTGGCTGAACTGAGGGCAAATTCCTTAAGAGTAAGAGATCTTGAGAAAAAAACCTGAACACCCTTTAGCAATGTTTATGCTGATCAGGAAGAAGAAAGCAGGCGTTGTCTTTTTCCCTAATTCTGAGCAGACATAGATATCCCAGCATCCTCTCCTCATAACCATAACTCTATATGCTATATCCCACATATAGTAACAACCACCACAACAACAATAAGAGGAAAGTAGGACATTGAGTTCAAAATAGCAGAAGTCTTGCTTGACAAGTCACACCTAAGGGACTAATTGTTTCACTTCTCCAAGGTTTGCTTAACAGACCTCCTTGGAATAGTTGATACCAACTTTTTGAACATGGCATGAGATTCAAAAATTCCCAGATGTGGGGCTGGGGCTGTAGCTCAGTGGCAGAGTGCTTGCCTCACACATGCGAGGCACTGGGTTCGATCCTCAGCACCACATTAAAAAATAAATAAATAAAAAGATATTGTGTCCATTTACAACTAAAAAAAAAATTAAATAATAATAATAGTTTCCAAATGTGAAGTATTAGTGGTGGTCTGGACAATGGCAGCAAAGAGAGAATAGCAGGAAGGTTTTCAGCATCCTGTGTGTCAGCCCAACTCCATAGTTGAAGGCAAGATGTTCTAAAATAATGTCTTGGTTCTTGGAGTGGAATGTGAACAAAGCATTGCCAAGGTGATACTGGTCTCAGAGATCAGGATCAGGTCCTTTTTCCGGGCTGTGGAAGATTAAACACCCACAAAACACAGAAGAAAGCACAGAAAGTAAGTTTTATTTAAGAAAGAGATAGGGACAAAGGACTTCTTCGGGTGTGTCTTGCTCTGTTATAGACCCCAGGACCCCTCCACCCCCCCACCCAAACACACACACTTTCTCTTTCTTCTCCTTAGGAGCATAGGGGCAGGAAGGATCAGGAACACAAAAGACTCCAGGTGCCAGGAAGTGCAATCCCAGAGGCTAGCGGAGAGCAACCCTTTGTCTTTTCTTTGATAACCAGCCTTCATCTTCTCAACCCCCCATCATTGATGACCTACAATGACTGCCTGACCTTTGCCCCCACCTCAGTTTGTCAGTTTGTTGAAGGGTGTTTCATATCCGGTCCCCTCAGGCCAGGTGGTGCAGCAAACTGATGGCCTTTTGGCAAAGAAACTGTGTGGGGAGTCAGTACAGTGGGCTCATCTTATTGTTCTCTTCACCTCCTGTTCTTATTCATCCTTATCTATCAATCTGACCTCTTCTAAAGGTATGGATCTGTTTCGTGTTTACAAGCATGGAGGAATAGAAGGAATCAATTTGAAGAGTGTATTTCTGAACTGGAGAGAAATTCAGGCAGTTATCATCCATCACTAGAGAAGAATGACAGATGGAGAGATGATTTTGAAAATAAACCATCCCTTCTAAATTTTGATCTTTGTGAAAACTACAAAGGCTACAAAGCAGGGATTTTTTGAAAATTTATAATCCTACCTGTTGGGTGCAGAGCAGGCTGAACTGTGTTGTCTGCAGGGCAGGCTGAACAGATGTTGGCTGCAAGATAGCCTACACACTCAAACCCCCCTCGATCTGGTCCTTTATCACCTGTTTGCCTCAAGTCTGAACATTCAACCCCCCTCAAGGCTGAGCACTCAACCCCCCTTGGGCCAACAAGGCAGCTTGCAGACCCAGAGGCCCCATTAGATTTGGGCTATAAAAACCCCTCCTGCCAGGCCCCCCTCTCTCTTGCTCTCTTTGTCTTTCTTGCTCGTGCTCTCTGTCTCTCTCTTGCTCTTGCTCTCTCCCTCTTCATCTCTCCTCTTTTTTTTTTTCTCTCTCTCTCCTTTTTTCCTTCTTTCCTTTCTCTTTGTTGCACTGCTGCAATAAAGATCTTTTGGTTGCTCCGAGTGTTGTGGTCACTCTTCTTTCACTACCCAGAGAGGGAGAACAGAGAGAAGACAGCAGCAAAATCACCTTGGAAGCTAGAAAGCAGAGGGACAGATGGTACGTACCTGCCTTTGGAACTCAGAGGTGCCAACACCCTATTTGAATAGGGGAAAACTGAGAAATGACAGCGTTGACACTGTGAAGTCCTCAAAAAACAAACAAACAAAAACAAAACCCTCAGGAAAGGGCAGTTCCAATTCTGGAGATGGAAGGTGAAGAAGAAGAGGGAGAAAACTGTTTGAGAAGTACCATAGTTAGTAGCTCCCGGACCCCTGCCTGATTTCCTTCTGGCTGAGCAGCTGTCCCTCCTGCATCCCGGAAGTCTGAGTGTTGTTTTCTAGGAAGACTGAAATGTCGGAATCTGGGCTGAGGGCTGCGGGCGTAGCTGAAGGCCCAGGAAACATTCTGAAAACCTGTAGATAAAAGAGAACATTTGTACCTGCGTCTGACTGCTGAGAGCCTCCCTCCCCTTCCCAACTAGCCTCCTAGAATGGGATGAAGGGGCTTGACCATCCATACTGGAGATGGAAGAATCTTCTCATCTTCTTTTAGGGAGTTTGAGGATCACAAGAGGAAAGACCAAAAGATATAGACATTGACCCCCTCCACAGGTTGAAGAGCTCCCTACCATGAGGCTCTTAGTTGGCAAGCCGGCTGACACAGCTGCTTAATCTCTCACTTTTAAATCTGATCAGATCTGACAACCCAGGAAAGTGTCTAACAGAGTAAAAAGAAAAGAAAAGAAAAAAAAATCTAACCAACTAACCAAACAAGAAAAAAAAGTCACATGGAAGAAAGAAGAGAGTACAAGAAGAAAAGAAAACAAAGCAAAGCAAACAAAAACATGATCAACTTTCTCAGAAAGAAATTACCTATGAAGTAGGAACAAGATGTAATAAAAAATTAATAGTAATAGTTTTTGGAAATTAAAAAAAATGATATAAAAAAGAGAGGTTGGCAGTGTAGTTCAGTGGTGTATCACCTGCTTATCATGCATACGACCCAGGATTCAATCCCCATTGCCAAAAAAATAATAAATTGGTAGATAGATTAAGCACAGCTCAGGAGCCCCAATGTGTATACAGTGGGTTTTCTAGAAAAAAAAAAAAAAAAGAGAACAGATTAAATAGAGGAGAAGACAACATCAATGACATCATTCAAGAAGTTCCCCAGGAAGGAATGACATGAGTTTCTGGACTTGAAAACTCATGGAATGTCCTGAACAGTGGATCACGTAGGCTCACATCAAAGTACTGTGTTGAAATTTCAGAAACCTAGGGACAAAGAGGGCTGTGACTTTCAGAGGTAAGA